AGGAAGGAAGGAAGGAAGGAAGGAAGGAAGGAAGGAAGGAAGGAAGGGGAATAAACTATCTCTATTCACAGATGACATGATCTTATATATAGAAAAAAACCCTAAAGAATCCACTAAAACACTCTTAGAACTAATGAATAATCTCAGCAAGGTTGAAGAAAGAAAGAAAGAAAGAAAGAAAGAAAGAAAGAAAGAAAGAAAGAAAGAAAGAAAGAGGAAGGAAGGAAGGAAGGAAGGAAGGAAGGAAGGAAGGAAGGAAGGAAGGAAGGAAGAAAAGGGAACAAACTATCTCTATTCACAGATGACATGATCTTGTATATAGGAAAAAACCCTAAAGAATCCACTAAAACACTTAGAACTAATGAATGATCTCAGCAATGTTGCAGGATATAAGGTCAGTATACAAAAATCAGTTGTTATTCTAAACACTTGTAATGAACAATCACAACTAAAATGAAAACAATTCTATTTAAAATGTCACCAAAAAAATAAAATACTTAAAAATATATTTAACAAAAAATATGCAAAACTTATGCTCAGAAAATTCTAAGCTTTCAGTAATCTCTTTGACATCAGCTGTAGCAACAATTTTCTAGATAGGTCTCCTTAGGCAAGGTAAATAAAAGTAAAAATAAACTATTGGGACTATATCAAAATATAAAGTTTCTGTACAGCAAAGGAAATAATCAACAAAACTAAAAGGCAACCTATTGAATGGGAGAAGTTATTTGCAAATGACATATCTGATAAAGGGTTAGTATCCAAAATCTATAAAGAACTGATACAACTGATTACCCACCCCCCAAAACACAAATAACCCAATTAAAAATAAAAAAAAAAATCCAATTAAAAAATCCATAAAAATCCAGACATTTCTCCAAAGAAAACATCCAGATGGCCTGTTCAAAAGACACATGAAAAGATGCCCAACATCATTCATTCATTAATATCTGGGAAATGCAAATCAAAACTACAATGAGACATCATCTCACACCTGTCAGAATGGCTAAAATCAAACAAAGAAGAAACAACCAGTGTTGGCAAGGATGTGGAGAAAAAGTAACCCTTACACACTATTGGTGGAGATGCAAACCAGTGCAACCACTGTAAAAAACAGTATGGAAATTCCTCAGAAAGTTAAAAATAGGACTACCCTATGACCTAGTAATTGCACTACTGGGTATTTACCCCCCCCAAAATACAAAAACACTAATCTGAAGGGATACATACACCCCTACATTTATTGCGGCATCATTTACAATAGCCAAACTATGGAAGCAGCCCATGTGTCATGGATAAATGAGTGAATAAAGTAAGATGTATACATACATGGAATATTATGAGCCATCAAAAAGAATGAAATCTTGCCATTTGCAGCAACACGGATGAGGAAGAGAATGTAATTGCTAAGCAAAATAAGTCAGAGAAAGACAAATACCATATGATCTCACCCACATGTGGAATTTACAAAAACAAATGAGCAAAGAAAAAAGAGAGAGAGACAAACCAAGAAAAAGACTCCTAACTATAGGGAACAAACTGATGGTTACCAGAGGATGGTTGGGGGGAGGGGAGCGGGAAGGAGATGTAATAGGTGAAATAGGTGATGGGGATTAAAGAGTACACTTATCATGATGAATAAACAAACAAACCCAAAACTACAACGGTAAACCACTTCATACTCACTAAGATGCCTATAATAAAAAAGTCAGGTATTAATGAGTATTGGCAAACAAGTGAAGTTGGAACTCTTATACGCTGCTACTGGTAAATATGTAGAATGGTGCAACCACTATGGATAACAGTCTGGCAGTTCCTCAAATGGTTAAAAACAGTTACATGTCCCAATAATTCTATCCTTAAAATGTATACCTAGAAGAAAAACTTATACATACATGTTTATAGCAGTATAATTCATAATAGCCCAAAAGTAGAAACAATCCAAATGTCCATCATGCAATGGATGGATAAACAATATTTAGTAAATCCATATAATAAATATTATTTGGCCTTACAAAGGGATGGAGTACTAATATATGGAACGACATTAATGAACTTTGAAAATATCTAGCGAAAGAAGTTAGTAATAAAAGGCCATAATACTACATGATTTCACTTATATGAAATGTCCAGAATAGATAGGTAAATCTACAGAGACAAAAAGTAAATCAGTGGTTGTCTAGGGGTGGAGGAGGAACGGGGAGAGACTGCACCATTTGTGAACATATTAAATATGACTGAATTGTATACTTAAATTGGGTGAATGGTATGGTATGTAAATTATATCTCAAAAATGTTTTTATTAAAAATTAATTTTTAATAAAAAAATTAGGTAGGAAGTATCTATGTCAACATTTTTTCTTCCTTTTTGGATCATATATAGTCAGAGCACTTTAGGTTGCATGTGAACTGAAGCCCAAATCAAAACTTGCTTTTAAAAAAGAAAATGTACCTAAAACTTATATAACATTGTGAGTCAACCATACTTCAATAAAAAAATAATAAAATTTTTTGTAATAAAAAAGGAAATGTATTTGACTCTACCAGGGAGTCCAAATGATGGTGCTTCAGTCCATTACTGATAGTGGATATTGGGTTCATATGATGTCTTCAGGAGTGTCATTTTAGGAACCTGATTTTATATTTCTAAAGTCCATTTTTCTTTTCCTTTGTGTTGAACCAGTCATATGATGGCAAAGGTGGTCTCTAATGACCCCAAGCAAGTTTTACAGCCTGTGACCCTTTCTCTCTTAGTGTCCTTATCAATTCACAAAACCTCAATACTTGGATCATAGTCAACTCATGTACCAGTCACTGTGTCCCAAAGGCTGTTTTTTTTTTTTTTTTTTTTTTTGAGTGAGAGTGTGTGCACACATGCACAAGTGTAAGTGGGGGAGGGGCAGAGGGAGAGGGAGAGAGCCTCAAGCAGGCTCCATGCCCAACGCAGAGCTGGATTTCAAGATCATGGGATCGGGACCTGAGTCAAAGACTCTTAACTGACTGAGCCACCCAGCCCCCCCATCCAAAGGTGGTAGTCTTTTGATTGGTCAAGCTGGGACCTATTCCCACTTTTGTGATAGGGTCACATGATTGTCAGGTCCACCAAAATAACATGAAATGAGAGAACGGCAGTTTGCCAAATCAAATTGTATTGAGTGGACTAAGGAGTAATATCTGCTCAATATAATTTTCCCCTTAAAAAGATTCCAAGAAGAAATAATTGCCAAATTATTCTCCATGATGATTCCATCAATTTTACCCCTACTCTCCTCTATATATAAATGGAATAGTTCTATTTACATGGTTAAATGACATCAAGTTGAGTTTTGGTCCGTTCTATGCTTCATTTTATTATAGTGGTCCCAAATCAGAAACTACTTTTTATAATAATGGCTTGCATCAGTTATGTTTTTAGTAATATAACTAGAAAAAAACTACAAAAACTGTTGTGTTGGTTCAGACTTGCATACCACTCAGCTTGGTACTGACTGTAAGAGAAACTTACAGAAACTGTAAGAAAATACTATGCCACAGGAAAGCCAAGTTCTATACTCTCTAATAACACCTCTACTTGATTAGCAACTTATACTTTCATTT